TAATCAAAGTCGTGGGTAATCGAAGGCACACACCCGATGCTAAATATAGACATAAAATATGATGCCCATTTTTTGTGGCTTGTAAAAAGCTGCAACTATGTTGAATGAAAAAAAAAAAAGTTGCAAAACCATGTGATTTTTGGTAACTTTCTCTATATTTCTTCTTCCCCAGTCCAGTTTCGGTTTCAAGCAGTTGCATTTTTTTACTTTATAAAAAATATATGTGACGCTGTCGCAAAATATTGATAGGGTAGTCTTCCGACACCATAATGTATTGCCTGGCAAAAAATAAAAGCAATTTTTGGGGGGTGTCACTGTCCCTTTCAGAACTTAAAAGCCATAATACTGTACTCAAGAAACATCACAAAAAAATTGAAGTCATGCCTTATGTACATAAAATATTGCACAGCTTGAAAAGAGTAGCAGCCAAATTCTGTGTGGTTGTCATCATTACGACCCTTTGCAAGTTCTCCAATATCTGCAATGCTCGGGACCAAAGGTTAAGTTGCTGGTTTGTGGTAAGAGGCATGGTAATCAGTGCGGCCTCACTTATCAGTGGTTATGGATCACACCTGCCAATGCACTACAAAGCTTATGGATGTTCATCTGCATTGAACGGTGTGCAAGTGGCAAGGCGTAGGAAAGGAAGTGGAAAGGGAGATGCTAGAAGCGGCTCCGATACATGACTGACCAAGACTCGTGTATTCGCATCGCATCTGTTCTTTTGATAGAAAATAGTATTTTATTTTATTTTAAAATAGTATGATTTTATTGGTAGGAATTAGGCTTTCTTCTTTTTTTTGGTTGCATAGAGTGCAAGGTTTCCTTATTGCGATTTGTTTTTAATGCACTTTTTGTGCCCTTCCTGTTGTCACGACGCTGTTTACTGTGTAGTGCACATACATGAATCACGACAACCTTGTTTCTATTGCCGTCTTCAATAATGAGATAACCATTATTTTTTCGTTATGCTTCATATTTTTTGTTGGGTGTATTTGCACGCCTTGTGTTGCACTGCCAGTGCTCGTGATGTAAACTTGCTTTCGTGCTTGCCTGCTCGCAAGTGCAATGTGCCTGAAATAAATGGATGGATTTCTAAAGTTGTGTGCAGGGAGTTTTGTTGTCGGGTCTGCTGCATATATAGTCGACCATGCTGATCATCTGAGAATGTCTTGCCTCGTATATTTTCCCTACTGGTTTCAGAAAAATTAGGCATTCCATGATTTGACTGCACATGGCCCAGTGGAGGTCATGCAGCGAGAAGTGTCAGTATTCCGTAGTGGAAATTTGGGTTGATGGAACCTCGCAAGTGGTTAACATCACCAAGTTTGGAAAAGAGGACAAACTGAGATGAGAGGGCTTATTTTTGTAGCTGCTGGAAACAGAAACGTCAATGGCAATGTGCCCAACATGTAGTGCATCTTTTTGCGGCTGCATTTTGAAACCCTGTTGCTGAAGCAAAGTTCACGCTGGCTGACCTCGGTTTCCCTTTATGTCTAGACTACCTATTCACCAATGCCAGGTGCCAGTTTGGCCAGCTTTTTGTAGTCGCAAAGAAAGATGGAGGTCAGGCAGGCAAAGCCAGCCCTCGCACCGGGGGGCTATGTTGCACGTTTTGGACTCCCAGGAGACTAGGGAGAAGGAAGTGACGTCAACAATGCTCGCTGGATGTTGATTGGTGTAGTCGCTGATGACAGTATCTGCAGAAGTTGCCAAGACACGTTCATTCACACCTACGTCACTTCCTTCTCCCTAGTCTTCTGGGAGTCCAAAACGTGCAACATAGACCCCCTGTGTCGAGCACAGGCTCCAAGTCACTCGGGCAAAACTATCCAGGGCTTGCGGACATGTGTGAATACAATCCTTTGAAGATATTGTGAGGTAAGCATGGCTAGGACAAATCTGACACCTGCTGTCTGCAGCATGCGTACGCATAACAGTGGGCATGTGGGCATATCACATTGCAGAGGCTAATTGGTAAGCACAGCGAGGACGACCCTTGACATCAACCAATTCGTTCACACACGTGCCCAGTCGTCGCTGCAGGTGAGGACGATGACAGTAGATGGCCAGTCGGCTTGTGGAATATTTTCTCACTGCCCGCTTCCTTCGCTAAATTTGTAACAATCGCTACGTCACTTCGCGTCACTCCACTGTGGGTGTACGAGTGCGTGCACGCTGCCCGCGGACATGCTTCAACCCCTCGAGTGATCGCGCAAAAAAAAAAAAAAAAGGCACTGGTCGAAGCAGCTGCGTTCACGCTTTAGTACCGTTTCCAGTGGAGCACAAAACAGCTGACATCGGGTATAGATCAATTTCGCCGCAGGGTTACAGGCTTGACAATGCACTTTTCCATTTCGACTAGCTGCGGGGAGCGCGATTGATTCTTGCAGAGGCGTGACAGTGTATATGCAAAGCACAATTCAGACGTACACTCGCGGTCCAGATCACCGCTTGTGCTCCGTTGGCGTCTCATACGTACCTGGCGCGATTCCTGTTGAGGCCAGCAACGGGCGAATGATGTTACACCCGTGAATAATGCTGCCAAGCGGCGAGTTGGGCATCGCTGTAGGGCAGACTACACAACACCGCAGCAACGCGTCGTTCGAATGAAATAAAACATTAGCTACACTGGACGTTTTAGCGAAAGCCAAACGAGCTGGGTTTATTTCCAGGCCGTAAATGACTTCGGAACGCTGGCAGCGGTCACGGGTCCTTAGGCCTAAACACACCCTTCCGCCCTGGAGTACGCGAACGTTACGGCAGAAAGCATAAAACGGCCGTAGCGTAGCTGCCCAGTCAGCATTGAGACCTGTGCGCGTATGTTATCCAGTTTCACACTAACGATACCTTCCAATATCTAGGACTGCACCAATGCACTTTTTCGACTGGGGCGTGGAGTGCTCCAAAACAAAACGGCAGGGCGTCTGCTCGCGTCGGCGGTAGCGGGGGGGAGGGGGGCTGCACGCAGCTTAGAACAGCCCGTAGCGCGCGCGTACCACGTGACTGCGCCAGCCAATCGCGGTACTCTTCTCTCCTCCCTTTCCTCCTCTCTCTCCTTCTTTTCTCTCTCGCGGGGCTCTGCCGTGGGGGGTCTCACAATACGCCGGCGGGATCTGCCCTCCGCGTCGTCGCAGCGCGCTTTTAATTAAGACAGCTCGTTTAAAGCCTCCGTAAGGTGAGGTGCAGTAGATATATCGCAATCACCTGTTTCTTTCCGGGAATTCAGTTCACTCGAGAGCTGGTCTACGCGTTCCTCAAGGGCCGAAACGGTCGCTTCGTACTGCTTTTGTTGCTCTATAAGCTGAGTGACTTCCTGCTGAAGCGTAGAATGACTCGCCTGAAGTTTAGTAACAGTGTCTTTAAGATTATTGAATTCTTCTATTTGGGCTAGAGACATAGGGCCTGGGTTCCTTTCCACGTCGCCGGAAAGCAGCAGCAAGACTCTAAGAAACTCGGTACAGGCTTAGCATGAAAATACAAAAATGACTGCGTCGCACGAAAGGGTTAGTAGGCGCTTCATGTCGATGGGGCACGACATTTCAAAAGGTAGGGTGTTATTTGGTTGTTTCCAATTTGCGTTTTGCATGTAACTAACCTGCGTCATGAAGACTGTTAACGCCGGCATGGCTTAGTCGTGCCCCAGTGATTGCAGCGGTGGAAGATGCTTTTGAAGGCAGCCGACGGACGGAAACGGAAACGTCCCACGGTGCGCCATCCTGCGGTTGTTGTCGGTGAGGGACCACGTTGGCCACGTCAGGAGTGAGGCAGCAGGAGCTTCCTCTTGCGCTGCTGAGTCGGTGTTGAACGGATGCTCCCCCGACCATGACGAAGGGCAGGCCCCATTGCCGTCCGAGGTACTTGGTGAAGCCGTGAACAGGAGCAACAGCATCTGCGTCATGAAGACTGTTAACGCCGGCATGACTTTGTCGTGCTTTGTCGTGAATGTATTTGTGTATTAGCCTTAGCACCAGCAACTGGAATTGCAACTCATCGTTAGTCAAGAACACCTAAAGACAACATTCCACAATGCATTAACGAAGGCCAATTCAGAGAATTGCACTCGACTAATAGGGCGAATATGCGGCGGACATCCGGCGAACTTCGCCCGGCGTCAAGTTTGATTTGCGCGCTGTTAAACAGACACTGTTTTGAAGCTACGAGAATAGCGAACGCCGTTAGAGAAATTCATTATGTGTTCACAACATATTCACCCTATGGTGTCCAGCCCTTACGACCACAGTATATCTGATCAGCCAGCATAAAAAGCCTCAATTTTCGTGTAAAAAAAAAAGTTGTGTGTCTTGTATTTTTTTTACAAATTGCACCAACGTCAGCCGTACAGATTTCAGCCGAGGCGCTCAAACCGCTGCGGCAACTATCAAACCTCTTTTTTTTTTTTTTTTGTACAACGGAGTTGTTAAGAGATAGTTTTCCCAGGATCGTTTCCGCCAGCAAAACAATGTCGACACGACAGTCCAGACAGCTACCGCCATCTATGAGCGACAGCGGCAACCAGACAACCGGCTTGGCGGTTCTCTGGTTTCCGCCGTCTCTCATAGATGGCGGCAACCTTTCCAGCCTTTCCACTCCGACTTGCCGACTTGCGGCCGGCCATTACTTTATTCCCACCATAGTAGTCAGTCAGTCAGTCAGATCAACTTTTTTTTTTTGCGCCCAGAGGTGGAGTAGGAGCCAGTACAGCTTCGCTGGTTTTCTAAACCAGAGTGGAAAGGCTGAAAGTTTTGCTTTTATCCGTGTCATATCTTGCGTCTATATATCGAACGACATATCAAAGCAGCCTCGTGGTCTGCTATTAAAACTTGTGGCGCTACATTTACGATTCGTTATGTCGTATTCACATCCTCACAAAACCGCTTCTTGACCTAAGCTTGTCCCCTTTTTTTTATCGCAGCAAGTGCCACAGTCGCTGCTGACCCCCTCCAGAACCTTGGGCCAGCTCGAGCAGGATCTCGCCGCCGCCAACCCCATCGATCCCGATGACTTGCCCGGTCCCGCTCCTGCGGATTCTGCTCCTCATCTGGGGCTCTTTCCTGGGCAACGGATCCCCGGCCGCGGCCGTCTTCGACTCCCTGGGCCCCTCGGGGCCCCTGCGCGTCGACCGTCGTCAGATCGAGCAGCTCCCCGCGCCGCTGCCGGAGCCCTCTTGTGCCCAGCTACGGGCCATGTGGCGCCAGATGCACCGGATGGCCCGCCACAGTCAGCTCACCAACGAGATCCCGCAGTTCCCGGCGGCCTATCCGTTCGGCTACGTGGCACCCGACGTGGGCAACAAGGCCGTCTACTTCTACCCAGGGGCCCCCGGCAACTCGAAGGCGGCCTTCGGCAAGATCGTCCGCAAGCCGGAGCGCGGGCGGACCAAGGTCCGACCCCGTCCCGTGGGCCGCTTCGCGGACACTCCACTTCCTAGGGCGGCCCTCGGCTCCTATGGGACCCTGGTGCGAAGTCCCGACGAGAAAGAGCACCTCAGGCGGCAGCAGGAGGACCCCGAGTTCGGCGTCTGGGGCGCCTTCCCCGGGGACGCCACGTCGTCGGCCTCCAGAGCCGCGGCCACTGTACTGGCTGAAGACCCGGACTCCCGGACGCCCAGCTTCGACAAGAAACTGGTGAGCGCCTGTGTGTTGGAGTAGTCACGGCGCTCTTTTATTTGTGCCCAACCAGCGCTGTAAGCTACAAGAACCCGGGTAAAAATCCTGCCCCCTGCCCGTATCGACCTGGATGAGCACCGTACCGGCTTGTGCTCGTGTACCATTTCTGTGTCGTACACGTTTTAGAGTTCATATTGCGTTGGGGAACTGCGCCAAGTGTCGAAAGTTATCTCCCCGATCGCTGCAGCTTACATCGATGGCGAGGCAGTGGCAAAGACGACTTTCTTGAATGTATTTTCATTTATTCACACTGCACCGGATGACAGACGCCCGCTACCGGCGCTCGGGACATCTCCCGTCCGACCCCCCGCGCCCCTAGCCACGAGGCTTGAAGACTCGTCCCTATGAAGACACCTACTCCTCGCTCGCGGAAGGGTGTCTTGGCCTTTCTCACCAGCTGTATCATTCTCCTAGGAGAGGGGGTTTTCCCGATAATGTACGCGAGCAACTAACAATGAACGAACATCCAAAAAAAATATGTATGGCAAACTGTTAGGCAATTCTTTTGCATGAGTGAAACGTTCTAACATCACAAACGTTTAGCGATACTAAAGTGGCGAAGCGGGCGAGTTGGTTCATGACATAAAATTTAAAAGCGCTAACAAAGACGAGGACAAAAAGGAATGGCGAACAAGACGAGCGACACCCTTTAGTTTCACGTATACACGCTCGCCTTCCCCGTATAAAATATTTAAAGTAAATAACAAAAAAATGACGCGTACTAACGCGCGTGTAAGATATCTTTTGTTTTAGGCTTTTGCTTTGGAACAGTTTGCGCTGCAGGCGTATGCAAGTGCAGCTCGAATAGCTACACTCGTAGCATGCTCCTTGGTGCTAAGGTAATATAAAAAAATGACCAACCGTTATCCATACTGGGGAAGAAAAAAATGCACTCTTATATCTTGATATATCGGTCAAACATTGATATGCATATTTGCATTTTATGAGAGACGTATCCGACGCTCGGATTCAATATTCGCCTTCCTGGCACGCACCTCCATGTCACTTTTCGAAGTGTCGCCTCATCGTTCTCTCCCACCTCTTACTTTTCTTCTTTTTTTTTTTTCTCTCTGGTGATGACACGAAGGGTTCACAGAGTGAGGGTACAGAGCATTGTGTACGGCAAGAACGTTTAAATACCCCAGGACCCGGCATGACGTCATGCTCATCGACGCCGAAAGAAGAAAATAAATAAATCCCCAACTGCCTTGCGCACCAATGCTGCTCTCATTGTCTGCTTGCCGATCGGTCATTGGGTCGGCTCGGTGGGCAGCGTTAGGCTTAGGCTCCGCCTATTCCGTGCCTGCAGTCTGCTCCGTCTGCCCACTGTCACGGCTGGCTTTCGATACAATCGGCGCACCCAAAAAAGTTTCGACGCGCAATCGCGGTCGCAGCAGTGCGAAAGAGAACGAACCCGTGCTGGAAGCTTCTACGGCATTCTCAACCCGATGCCAGCTCAGCGTTCGTGCCTACGGCGCCGCATATGCTCGCTTTCCGAAGTCGCACCATGGCGACTGGCTCTTGACAACGCTCCTAGCTCTTAGCGCGCCGTCTAGGCTTGTCCGCCGCACGCCGACTTCCTTCTGGCCACGCAAATGTTGGGTTCTGAATCCCACCTGTTCGGCGCAGATTTAGCGGACGCCGCCTTCTAAATATGGTGAAACAACCGCTCTGCCATCGGAATGCCGTGGCAACGCGGTTGTTTGTCCTACACGTATATGGTGGCGCCCATTAACCAATTTTTTTATTGGCCAAGAGACTAACGGCAGAATTCGTGGCAACGCCTATTTCAATTACACTTCGCCTCATATATGGAGAATACGGAAGCCAGCTCCTCCCCACTATAACCTCCTTGTGAACGGGTGACTTGTCCCATGGTGACGCGTGACATGTGTAAACATCTGAAAGAAGTTGGCAGGTTGTTGGCGCTGCAGATGTTTGGCAGGTAGCCAGCTCTGCTACCTTCTACCCTTGCACTACGCCACGCTTCTTATACAGTTGGGAAACCTGAGTTAGCTTCTGTTCTAACGCAATTCCCCATTACTGCGATAAGAAACTGAAAGAGAGGAGAAGACGAGACCGCGCGGGAACGTCAAAACTTCCAGCTCTGGTTCGAATGGTTATTGGGGAGGCCTAAAGTTGGTTGCCTTCGTCTCCATGGCACTCGTCAATCGCGTTCGAATGCTTGAGCCAAACGCCGGAAGCCGGCATTCCGCGTTTTAACGCGTTCGACGAGTGGATTGGAGGCAAAGGCAACCAGCTTTCGGTCTACCCACTAATCCTACCAACCAGAGCTCGCTATTTTGACGCCACCGCTCTCGTCTCTTTTTCTCTCCCACTTTCTTGGAGCATACGTTGAATCGATCGAAGAAAGGGAAAGAATGTGTCTCTTTGTTTCATTTTACATTTCCATTACAATGTTTTGTGTGTGACGAAACCCTGGAAATGTGCCACAGGTATATGGAATAGTCAGCAAACAGTGTAGGAAATACGCAACCATGTTCTTTTAATGATTAGAGAAAAAAATCCTAAGCAATTTTACATGACACACGTGTTAAGACAATCTGATCATACCTGATATCCAGCATTGTCATCAGTGAGAGGACAAACAAACGGATAGTGATAAAAAGATTATTTTTTGTATTAAGGAATAATACCTGGTTACAGCGATCAAGTAAGCACGTAGTAATACATAGGAATATGAGTGCATCGTAATACATTCGATGGAAAAGTAAAGCGATCGGCCTTCAAGCTTAACCAATATATCGAAAACTAAAAGCACCATTGTTATCGCCGTAATTTATAAGGAATCGGCTCGCATACTCAGGTTAAAGTGGCGGTGCAAAGATATTAAATTTGAATGTTTCCACTTCTCAAGAGCTCGCTGGCACTAGTGGGACTCAAGGATACTCGCACAAAACGGCACTGGACAAGAAACTCCTTTGTTGCGCTGTAATTTCAAGGACAAAAGCGAGCATTTTAGAGCCCAGTTCTTAGGCGCCCGTTTCCGGCTTGAGCGGCGTCGGCGTCGCCGTCGGCGTAACCGCGCGGTGCATGATGGGTAAATTTCCCCGCTAAATCTAGCGAAACATTTTCCCCGCTAAATTTAGCGTAAAGTATTCCCCGCTGAATTTAGCGGGATAATATTCCCTGCTAAATTTAGCGGAAAAATTTCCCCGCTAAATGTAGCAGAAAATCTTCCCCGCTTTATTTAGTGGAAAAAATTCCCCGCTAAATCTTGCAGAAAATTTTCCCTGCTAGATCTAGCGGAAAATTTTCCCCGCTAAATATAGCGGAAAAATTTAGCGGAAAATTTTCCCCGCTAAATTTAGCAGAAAAACTCCCCGCTAAGTCTAGCGGAAAAATTTCCCCATTAAATCTAGCGGAAAATTTTTCTGGCTAAATTTAGCGGGGAACTTTTACCGCTACATTTGGCGGAAACTTTTCTCTTAAATGGGGGCGAGCGGGAGAGGACGAGGGGCATAGCCCCCTCTCCGTACCTTCCCCTCCTTGTCTGCAAGAGCTGCGCTCTAATTTGGCGTTACAGGGAGTTGTAACCAGCTTTCATTTTTTTATTCAATCTCTTCCTCGCAAAGTTTCACGACGCAGCTGGGCGGTTGCAGTACCGCCCAGTGATTTGATTTGAAAGCGGCTCATAGATTGGATCAGAGCATTGCGTGGGCTCTCGATTTGGCTCTTCATAATCGACAGCTCGAGAGGTATTCGCGTAGTGGCCCGTGCCCAATCGCTGCAATGACGACAATAGCCGAACCATAACAATGTCTGTAACTCAGCAGCGTAAAATAGGCTCCATATTACGTGGCCGCTTATTCTGGGTGGGATTTGGGGGAATGAAAGCTGCTCGTTTTTCTTCAATTTTTTCTGCGCCTTCTAAGGCGCGTGATGAAAAACGAACGGGTGTTTCACAGGTCATTAACGTCAGGGATCTGTTCTAAGCGGTATTTGCGCAAAGTACAAAAATCGTTGCATCGCCCCTTTAAATGTCATACTTCCTGAAAAGCAACCATGATTGGTTGTTTCGATCGGCCCCTCTTGGTTATACACTCGAGGTGCCTGTGACAGGTTTTTCTTTGAGGAATAAGCACCGTGTTGGAAATAAGGTTGTATAGAACTGAAATGAATTCCACTGCCAGGAGGCGTTTGGTCCCAGCATAGAAACCTCAATTGCCCTCAGTCAAAGCTGTATCCCCAGAACGGGACAAAAGACGCAAAGATAAAATATTGTCAGAAATTGGGTCTTTTTTTGGGGCGCTAGCAATTTCTCGGGTTGATGCTCACCTCCTCGTATACCGGGTCGTTATACTTTCTCGTTGTTTTCCTTAGCCGCTTCCATACCGCAACGTAACAGTATGATGATAGATTGCGGAGTCTCGGAAGGGCGAGCGCTTCGTATCATTTGAGTGTTTGTTTCAAGATAGGCGAGCTCATTTGACATCATTCATATCTTTTTGCCCTCTCCAAACACCGCGTGTTTTTCTTTTTTTTTTTTTTTAACGTCAGTTTTTTTTAGTTATGCCCCCGTTTTGGCGTGTTTTTTTTTCGTTTAGGAGAAAAGAAAATGAACGACGGTCAATTCGTCACGGTTGGTGCGAAATATCTCCTTCTTTTGTGCAGTGGGAGGAGAAAGAAGAGGAGATGCCTCCAAGATACCGAAGGAAGTGTAAAAATCGCTTTCCCTCGTGACAAATCTTTATACGAATATGTCCAATAAACATATGAGAGCGTATTAGGTGCCCTAATAACATACTGTATATACACCTTATATAATTTGTAGGAGTCCTGATATGTGTATTGAGCAAACCATAAAAAAAACGTTTATTTCAGTAGTAATTCATGACATAAAAACAAAAAATAAGGCTCACTTCTACAATTCCTGTGCGAGATATTTTTCGGAATGTAGATTCGTATCATTTTAATGGTAGCTAGATCAATTGCCT